TATGGTGAGTGTAGAGAACCGGAGAACCTTTTTACTGGAAACGAGGCATTACATTTTAGTCCTCACGGGTGACAACGCATCTGAATTTTGATACGTAATCGAGAATAGATGTAGATGTGTAGGGCCGCAGCAACCACTTACCATCAGGTGGACTGTGTGCTCGTTTGTCACCCTTATTCTATTAAAAAAAACTTTCTGATATTTCAGTAAAATAATGTTAAGTATTGTAAGCACTCGTACAATTATGTCTCATGTTAATAAAGCTATTGGGCTATTTTGATTTTTAATAAAGTGATTTTACTTTATAGGTTAAATAATTTATTTACCCTTCTATATCAAGAACCGTTTTTTTTTCTGTCACTCCTATTGAATTTCACAGTGCTTGCTGAAATTTATCATCTTAAGATGGATCAGAATCGTGCGCTGATCCGGCTTTTAGATATTGCAAAAATAATCGAAAATATTTATTTTTACTTTCATGCCGAAGACTACCTTGTTTTATTTTATTACGGTCAAATAATATTTAATAGGTTATAAAGCAAGTATTTACAAATGTTTTAATTATTTTGTTATTCTATTGGTTACAGTTATTATTACGTCTTAGCTTTACACCAAAAATTACATTAGAAATTCTAGATGCGATGTAACGCGCATACATTATTTTCATCAAGAATTAAATATATATATATTTGTTTTTTTTTTTACCAGTAGAGTTTCAACACAATCTTAAAAAAGTTCAATGAATTAAAAAATGCCGATAATTCAAGTCAGTGTTTTACATTTAAAGATCAGTTATAAAGAGCCAAAGTTCTTATTTTCATTTTGATTAATTTAATTCGAGACTAAAATAAATGTGAAAGGGCTTTTATCTGCAATAATAATTTTCATCAAAAATAATATAGACTTATAAAAGTCATATACACGGTCAATCATACTGAAGATTATCAATTGTACTACAAAATATGTAAAAGACTATTTCCAGTATAATGACCCGAATATCATCATTAATGCTTGACTGGCACACTTAAAAGTTTTATCACATGGCTAAATGATTGACTATTATATTATGATAAGGTCATGCTTTTCTATAAAAAGTTGCAAGAAATTTTAAATCACGGACCTATTGGTTTGTTTTACTTTTCACTTAATTAGTGAAAAACAAGATAGACTGATCTAAAAGTTTACTTTCTTGTGTAAACAAGTGCTATTTAGAATTTCGTCTTATAGATAATTATAACTATTTGGCCGTGTTAGGTGCAGGAGCTATTATTAGAAGGAGAAGAGGAAAAATTTTGTTTTAGAAATGCGCAATCAATATTGTTTTGTCTGCAATTGAGCATAAAATAAAAAATAACTTCAGCCAAAGAGCATAACTGGCATTATACTCAAGCCCATCAATTGGTATGGAAAAAAATAATTTTACCAGGTTTCAAAAAATACATACATATAATGATTTATGGCCGCTTAGTAATTGACGGTGACTCAGTAGAACCTCCTACAGTCACGCCGAAACTAAGAGGAGAGAATCACTGTAGAAAAAGTAATAATTTATTGCGGAAATTTTGTGATAAAATTAAAAAATTACAAACTTATCCAAGTTAATCTAACTTAGTCTAACTTATCCTTATGCGTTACAAATAATAAAATAGTGTAATAAAATAAATAAAATATGTCTATGTCTATGTCTATGTCTAGATGGCGTCAGGTTTTAAGAAGATATAACAAAAATAATCAAAAAAATAAATTTCAAAAAAGTTCAGTATTTAATTGATTATATATCGCTGACACTTAATCACGCTTTTCGAAACCATGCCAGTTGTAAACAATACTTGTGTTAAAAGACAAAATCTTCTTTTCAAATTTCCGCTGAGTTGTAAGTAGAAGGCCAAATAGGTCATGTGTCAATTTTAATTAAATATATTTTATATGAAGTGATCTTGGCTACGTTTCATCAATTAACCATTGGTAAAAATTAATACAGGAATTTTACAATCGTGTTTACAAGAAACATTATTAGTTGAACCTTGCAGCTTGTTTACGCTCGGACGGTGGTTTCGGAATCAACGTCCGAGGGCGCGCGGCTCGGTGCCATACCGGTTTCGACGTCGGCCGAGCGGTGGGGTTGAGAACGCGTAAAGGTGCGGTCAGTCGTCTGTCAGCGGTGCTAACGTTAGCACACTGTCAATTTTGTTAGGGAACTCGGAATAATTAGGCGCGGATAGTTAATATTCTGTCTAGGATTGGTGGCGCGCATTCCTTGCTGGAGAGCTTCTCAGGGACTCATTGTGTCCGACTCAGAATCTGTATAAGTGCATTCGACAATGTTAGCTAGTGCGGCCTATGATATTCTAGAAATAACTGTTGCTACGCGAAACGGTAGTGACTTTTGATCCGGACACTCCCTGTTCATTTTGTCTGTTAGGTTTTATAACAAACGAGAGTTAGTGGCTTCTGTAAGTTAGTTAATAGTACGATAGAGTTAATGGACTGTCATCCTGACGAACGAGGAAAGTGACTGCCGCGGAAGGTTCCCTCAATTTGGAGCGGTGTCGACGCCCGGGCTGCTGCCGACGGCCAAGGTTTACTCGGGTCAATCACCATCAGTCACACCCAGATACACATCACATCACCTTATTTCCCTTGCACTACACAACCACATGCGACCTGACCGACTCCGGAGGGACCAGTCGCCTTGGATATAGGTAAGTAAGCTCCGTCTAACATTCTCCCGGTCGAATGGCCGTAGTATAGAACGCTCCCCCATATAGTTTAGTGTAATTAGAGATTTTCCACTTTGGCCTGGAGGAGGCCCGACCTACGTCTGCTCGTCGAAACTCAGCTGAATGGGCCCCTGAGGATTTGATCTTTAAGGGAACAGCCGTAGGCCGTAACACAGCTTGTTCATTATTTTTATTAGAAATACCTATAAATATATATATTATTAATAAATAGTTCCCATAATATTTTGTATTATTTTTTATTTTGCCCTATCTGCAATGTTCTACGCTCAATAGAAAATGTGGCGTATGACATGACTGACAATCTCTCGAACGTTTTATCTATATACAAAGATGTTTTACGTTTTCGTCGCCTCCACATGATGTTTTCGTTAGCATAAGGTACCCTTCTGTATCTGAAACGAATATGAATATTGCTACAAAGTAAAGTAATAGGCTATACAAGTCCCTCTACTCGGACTCTTTTTTTTAATTCTGAGAGGGTTTAAGAGCAAGGAAATGCCCGCCGCGCTGCCCCAATGCGTGTTGACGAAAATTGCAATTACAAATTTCATTCGTGCTGTCGGGGATCAAACCCGGGAGAAATTTACAGCGAACACTTTAACCCAGATCTATTAATACGACACAAATAAATACGATTTAACATATATAATAAAAAACTCTTACGTACATGAAACTTGAACACTTGATAGCTCGTGACGCCTACCGGACAAAGCTACAGCACAATGTAATTGAAGATGCGTAACCGCGACATAATTCTCAGTGATGCGCAAGCATAACAGGCATTATGTCACTTGTATAAATGTCATCTCTGCAGTCTATTAATCTTTACACTTTTATAAGTAATACAGAACGTAGTTGCTAGATGGTGTTGACGTCGGCTAAAATCTCTGCGATCGCCATTTCGTCAAGGTCATTCAGGCTAGTTAAAGCCTTAGATTATTTTTTATTGATTTTTGTCATGTATCGGGGTGACTATGCGATGAAATAAAAAATAAGTGCCATATCAAAGTAGCCTCATTATCAATAAAACTTTGATAAGCAGGTTTTTATGTTTTTTCTAAATAATTATTTACAAATGTATATTTTTTGTTGTAATAATTAATTTGCGCGATGAGTCTTCACCACAGTAATTTTTTTAATATTTTATCGTTAAAATTGCAAGCGTGGGACCCATTTGAAGTTTAAAATTAATCAATGTCACCCCGTTTTACGGAATATGCTGACATGCACTTCATTCATGTGGAATGCAGATGCAACGCTTATTATTAGTAAAGTATTTACCTGTTAACGAAGTAACCTAGCAGTTTAATAATAATAATAATAATAAAAATAATAAAAATTTCGTAAAAGATCTTTCGTATATCGAAGCCCGGGAACTGAGATAAGCTAAAAAATGTAATTTTTAAGATTTGAAGCTCAATAAAGGCAACGTTTTGTAATACAAGACTGAATTTGGAATTGCTGTACATTGTTTTGTAAGGAAACCCACTAAACCATATCACAACGCGTTCACTGCCAGTGATATAAAATGTGTCAGAAAAAAGGAGAAAGGAGAGCGTCACGGAGTGAAAATCTGCAATATAGTTAATGGTTTGTAATTATTTTCAGTTTTACATTTGCAAGCAGTTAATATTTATTGACCCACTTCAGTACAGGTAAGGACCGTTGCAACCGCAACCACAGTTTCCACCGCAGCTTCCGGTGATGGAGACAACACCACCAGCTGGAACTTCACCACCGAATCTAACAGCGCCCAGAATCGGCACCTGACCAGCTACTAGGGTGCTACCACCGACACACATCTCGCCAGCGACTGCTACATCACCAATGCCTACGCCTCCGTAGGCTGGACCAGCAATGCCCGCTGGGTAGCCAAGGGCGCCAGGGCCAGCAAGACCGTACCCAAGACCGATTCCAGGTCCGTAAGCAAATTCATTGGCTAAAGTAGGTCCACATCCCAAACCGTACTCAGCGCTGAATCCTGGGGCATAACCCAAGCCAAGTCCAGCTCCGAGACACTGACTGTATACATTCTGAAAATTGAGAAACATCTTTACAATATGCAGTAACACTTTTAACTGACTTATATTTAAATAATAATTGTCAAATTTATGGAATATAGTGTCAAAATTAATCCATGAATATAAATTTCATCCATATAAATTAAAAGTAAGTTTTTTTTAAATTTATCAAAATTATATAATTTTACAAACTATATATTTTTACAGAAAGGTTATATTAAATCTGCTAGAGTTTTACCTGGATCAAGCATGCTTGAACGCAGAGCAAGAAGAAAGCGAAAGAAGACATGTTTAAGGTTTTTCCAACTGTACCAAGTGTAAAGTGATTCAAAAATATAAAAACAATGCATTATATACTGTTTACTCCCTATACGATTAAAAATAATTTCATAACAAAATAATAAACGTAAACGTGTTCCGTAAAAGAATTATATCGATGAGACATTGACCTGTGTTTCGCTTGTTATGGAACGTGACAAATTTGGATTTCAAAAACTAATTATCAAATAAAAAATGTGGAAAAACAGCTGCTTGCATACCCAGTCAATAGAACCAGAGTGACCGACATTGCCCAATGGATTAGTAAACTGAAGTGGCAATGGGCCGGCCATATAGCTCAAAGAATCGACAACGGATGGGGAACTGATGGGAAGTTTCTCGAGTGGCAGCCTCGTATCGGTAGGCGAAGTGTAGGGCGACCCCCACTAGATGGAGTGCCAATCTGGTAAGACATGCAGGAAGTCGATGGATGCAGGTGGCTCAGAAACGTGCTTTGTTGCATTCCTTGGTGGAGGCCTTTGTTTAGCAGCGGACTTGTGAAGGGATGTAATGACGATGATGATGACACCCAGCAACATGAGTCATCATTTTCATCATCATTACAGCCCTTCACAAGTCCACTGCTGAACATAGGCCTCCCCAGGCTAGCAAGATGAGTATGAGCAAAATTTTAAATAAATATCAAAGACTAATAATGCACTATGTTTTCTACAACATAAGAAATTATTTAACTTTACGAGGAGTTAAACATACAAATAAACGGTTCGACCGTTTATTTGTATGTTGTACTGTGTGTAACTATACAAGTGAAATCTAATAATGAAAGCCTTATTAATATAAAATGGCACAAAACTTATTATATAAAATACTATATTGTAGAGCATAAATCTACTATGACGAAATAATGAAGATTTTACTTACAATCACATAAAATCGTAAAGAATATTTTTTATCAATAAGTAGATTTATAAGAATGTGGAAGATTAATATCTACTTTTAAAAAACTCCATGATTTGTAATAGTTTTTCTATTACGAGTATGCTATTTGTGTTTGTCACGTATAAGGGAACATGAAATTGCGTGATATTGTTTCAAAAACATTTCGATATACACCATACATTGGTTGAAAGTTCTGTATATAAGCCAATCGACCCAAATTGTATTCACACTTGTTTCAAATTAACACAACAAATATGTGTACTAAAGCATTCATTCTTTTCTTCGCTCAAGCACTCATGGTTCAGGTAAGAAAAATAATTACTAACTACTAAACGTCTTAATGCATAAAAAATTTTCAAATTCAAATTTCATTGAGATTTTATTTTTAATAAACATAATAGCTTTAATTAAAGAATATTATATTCAACACTTTCATTGTCCGATTTTCAGACACAATAGTAAGACAATAGTAATCAACTATACTCGTATGTAGTGCACGGGACAGCGAATGGGTTAATTAAATAAAATCAAAAAATTATTGAAATCATTTTTGAACAAAAGTAATAGTTTTAATTCGAGTAGTTATAAGAAATTAATGAAATATAACTTTTCGTTTTAATTAATATTCAGACCATCACTGCCTACTGCTTGGGCAACGGACTGGCCTACGAAGGTTCCTTAATTGATGGTGCTCCCTGCGGCGCCCCTTGGGGAGGCTTTGGCTGGTCTGGCTTAGACTGGAACGGTGCCGGTTGCGGTCTAGCAGCCATTCCAACTGCTAGCGGCGGTGGTTTCCCTGTCGCCAGTGCGTCTCCCATCCCGCCTGTTGGAGTGTCTGTTCTCTCAGAGAACGAGATCGCAGGAATCCTGGCTGTCGGTGGTGAGCTGCCTTTCCTAGGCACCGTTGGTCTGGAGGGTGTGCTTCCAACTGCTGGTGCTGGTGCCGTCTCTTACGGTTGCGGAAACGGTGCCGTGGGTATAATAAGCGAAGACATCGCCGCGTCCGCTTGGGGTTATCCGGGCGCCCCTGGGTTGGGTTACGGACCTGGCCTTGCTAACGGATTTGGTTACGGTCCCGGTCTCGCTGGACGCGCCATCGGTGGTTGCGGATGCGGTATCTATTAATAACCCTTTCTAACTAAAAATCTTACGTGAAATTAAAAAACTTTGAATAGCAGTTTGAATTTTCATTGATTATATTTATTATGAATATGCGACAGTATAATAAGTGACAGCAACAAACAATAAGATAAGATAATTCGATCCATCATCCCGAAAAATCTGCTGGATATGAACCTCATCCGTTGTAAGCTTAGAGCATTCAACTAAAGGACGAGTAATGAGTCTAATGCTACGAACAAAAAAGTCTGTCACTTTTGGTGCGGGGCGAGGAAATACTACATAGACAGTACTGCACGCCTATTTAATAAAATTTTGTGTCATTGTGGCACACACAAATCTAAATCTCCAACACTGTTACATTTTACGCACGCTTCAACTTAAATACATCAACACAGAAAAAAAGTTATGAGCGTAAGACAGATGACAGTTTCCCTAAGCGAAAAAATAAGCATAAGCAAAACGCTCTAGAAGAATTAAAATCATCTGAACTCTTTAGTTTGGTTAGCGCAACAAGTCGTTTTAGGGTTCCGTAGTAAAACAATAAATAACTCTTATAGTTTCACCAATCCAGTCCACCTGTCCGTCTGTCCGCGGCTTAGCGTAGTGACTATTGGTACTCTAAAGAGCATGTACATGACATTTTGACTTACAACATCTGTTAACAATAATATGGGTAAGGCATTACAGACTAAAATGCGACGTTTACTAGGCAAACATTGAAATTGGGATCAATCGAAATGCATCGAAAAGATAGTGCTTATAGGATGGTTCTCAACCCATTTTTCGATTACACAATTGTGCCTACCTCATTTTTAAGTGAGGCTGTTTTGTAAATCTGTAAAAGTAAAACAATCATGATGATCCATACTGATATTAAAAATGCGAAATTCTGTCTGTACTATAGTTTTTCGCGATAAAACTTATCCTTATACTTAACCAGTGTATAAGCAACAAATATACCTAATTGCATTTAAACAGATTCAGAAATTTCAATTGAAACATTATTAGAACTCGACTCGGACCATAGACCAGTCCTACTGCAGCTGGGCCAGCCCACAGGTGAGGTCTTTCAGACCAAAACCATCGTGGACTGGCGTAAACTTGAGGTCATACTCGAGTCTACGACCTCCTACCACTTAGACAAGTACCGGATAAGATAGACTCACCTGAGGCTAATGAGGCGACTAGTGCCACATCGGCCCAACTCACCACTACAAATGAAGAATGCTCTCGTAAGGTTCTGGTAGTCAGCAATCAATATCTGAAGCTGCTGAGTGATACTCGACAACTGATTAGAGCAAGCAACGCGGCCCTAAGAATCTGCTGACGGACGTCGAGCCATCACAAACTGCCTTCCGGCGATTGACGCGAGCTCTGAAAGCAGTACAACCCTAACCTATGCCACCTCTCATCAGGCCAGGAAACCCCGATCTCACCTTTGACGATTTTGAAAAGGCCAAATGCCTCGCTGACAGAATATAGAGTCAATGTACTCCCTCTAGCGAACCTACAGATCCCGCTCACCTTGCAGATGTTGAAACAGAGGTCGAGCGTAAGTCTGCACTTCTACCTGCGGGCGACCCCTAGAACCTGTGACGGTCGACAAAGTCACAGAAGTAATGAAAAGTCTTAAAAATAAATCATCTCCAGGACTTAGAGACAGGGTACTGAAATCTCTCTCCGCGCCGCTATTATGCCTTCTAGTAGGCATATTCAACGCTCTTCTTTCCAGCTGCTCCTTTCCGGATGCATGGACTGAGGCGGACGTAATAGGAATCACGAAACCAGAGAAACTGTGCAACTTAGCCTTTGTAAATACGTCTTCACCAACAAACTTCTTCCAGACGAGCAGTTCGCCCGAACACTCGTGCACCGAGCAGTGATATCGCCTCACAGAATACATTCTGAAAGGATTTAACCTCCCACAAAGTTGTCGCAGAACCACCATAACCGGTGCCCTCTTCCTCGATATCGCAAATGCGTTTGACAAAGTCTGGCACGACGGCTTGCTTAACAAACTGTCTAAACTAAACTTGCCTGGTAGGCTCAACTACACGATCAGAGCCTTTCTTGCCAATCGCCACTTTCGCTATCGAATAGAGAATACTCGCTCTACAAAACATCGCCTCAAGGCTGGAGTCCCACAAGGCTCCTTCCTCTCCCGAGTGACATCCCGAATGACCCAGTAGTGAATTCTGCTCTTTTTACAGATGATACGGCAGTTTTCATTGCCTATCCCAATAAAACATACCTCACCAAGATTTCCCAAACAACTATCAACCGCCTAGGCGATTAGTTCCGCCTATGGAGAATCGAAGTGAATCCTAAGAAAAGTGTAGCAATACGCTTTCGAAAGATTTCCACTTTTATCAAACACAAAGAAATCGTTAGGTACGATCATCCTGTACTGCCGCCAGATCCCCTGGCAACCAACGGCCAAATACCTAGGAGTTACATTCGACCAAGATATGATATTTGCGAAGCACATTCGCGACTTCCGATACCCGACAAAATTCGTCACTAATCACCTCCACCCGCTTGTGAATAGCAAGAGAAACTGTCTTTAAGACACAGGTTCCAAGTTTAAAATAAAGCGTGCGAAAGACCCATCATGTCTTACGCAAGCGTAGTTGTCGCGCACGTAAGCCATAGTCAATTGTACGGCCTCTTAATCGTCCAAAATAGATTAATTTGCAAAGCAACCGGAGCTTGGCACTACCAGCGAAACTCCCACCTACACAGAGACTGTCAACTTACGACGACCTCTGAATACTTCAAGGATATGTGTCAGCGCTGTTTCGAGAGGGCCGAGACACATCCCAACCCACTAGTGGTAAACGCAGCCACCTACGCTCCGAATCCGAACATAAAGCTAACCCTCTGGAGGCCCTATAACGTTCTAATCGACCTTGTTCCGCTAGATTCCGACGACCGAAATGTCGCCAACCAGTCACACTCAAACACTACACAATCACCTAGTGCCTCAAGCACTGTTAGGTCAACAAAGGACGGGATGCAACGAGTCCGCAGACGGGCGCGCCGCACATCCCTCCACACCGCGTAAACACCGTACACCCGCGGCCCTGGGCGGTTCGGACAGGCGTCAGATAACTCATCCATGTTATGTTAATGTGATCACTGAACTGAACACAATATTATTCCACTACCCCAAGATTATCTCTCGTAGCTTTAAAGGGGGGGGGGGAGATTAATAATAATCTCTACCCCTTTTTAAAGTTCGTGCCTTGAAAGGCTTCTTAGTTCGGTGAAGCTATAAGAGCCGCATAGGCAACAGCAGTAACATCACAGAAACTAGACTTTATGAAGATAACAGATGTTAACTACTAATTGGTATGGTCAATTTTGGTTCTTTCGTCGTTATTATATTTATAGGTTTCTGTTATATATCTATTTGTGATAGTTAATTGTATTTATGTTAATACATATAAAATTAGTCAATTTTTAAGTTATAAATATGTTCATTTTATATTTGCCACATATCACATTATTTTCCACACGTCCCAGGTTTACTGGGAGAGAATGCCAAAAGGCGTTAAGTCCACCCTTTGTAAACCTTCTATTAAGGTGTAGTACAACAAAGTATAAATAAATAAAGTATATATATAATAAAATATATAAAAATAAAAAGTAAATAAGTTTTATTTATTTCTTTATTTTTATATATTGTGTACCCAGATTTCGTTGATGATGCCGTAAGTCGAAGCTCTTCGGTATATTACAAAGTAAATATGAGAAACATTATAAGTGAAATAATTACGAAGTAACCTAGCAGTTAAATAATAATAATAAGCAACAGCAAGTAAAAAAACTCTGTTCACAGCATTAAGTTACTTAAAGGAACCTTCGTATATCGAAGTACGATCAATCCAGCGGAACGACCCGAGAACTGAGATAAGCTAAAAATATGTAATTTTAAAGATTTGAAGCTGAATAAAGGCAACATTTTGTAATTCAAGACTGAATTTGTAATTGCCGTACCATGTTTTGTAAGGAAACCCACTAAACCATATCACAACGCGTTCACTGCCAGTCATATTAAATGTGTCAGAAAAAAGGAGAAAAAGGAGAGCGTCACGGAGTGAAAATCTGCAATATAGTTAATGATTTGTAATTATTTTCAGTTTTACATTTGCAAGCAGTTAATATTCATTGAGCCACTTCAGTACAGGTAACCACCGTTGCAACCGCAACCACAGTTTCCACCGCAGCTTCCGGTGATGGAGACAACACCACCAGCTGGAACTTCACCACCGAATCTAACAGCGCCCAGAATCGGCACCTGACCAGCTACTAGGGTGCTACCACCGACACACATCTCGCCAGCGACCGCTACGTCACCAATGCCTGCGCCTCCGTAGGCTGGACCAGCAATGCCCGCTGGGTAGCCAAGGGCGCCAGGACCAGCAAGACCGTATCCAAGACCGATTCCAGGTCCGTAAGCAAATTCATTAGCTAAAGCGGGTCCACATCCCAATCCATACTCAGCAGTGAATCCTGGAGCATAACCCAAGCCAAGTCCAGCTCCGAGACACTGACTGTATACATTCTGAAAATTGAGAAACATCTTTACAATGTGCGATTACACTTTGAACTGACTTATATTTGAATTATTTTGAATAGTTATCGTATTTATGGAATATAGTGTCAAAATTAATTCATTAATATAAATTTCAACCACATAAATTAAAAGTAAGCTCTTTCCAAATGTATCCAAATTATATAATATTATTATTTTAGAGAAAGGTTATAATAAATCTGCTAGAGTTATACCTGGATCAAGCATGCTTGAACGCAGAGCAAGAAGAAAGCGAAAGAAGACATGGTTAAGGTTATGCCAACTGTACCAAGTGTAAAGTGATTCAAAAATATAAAAGCAATGCATTATATACTGTTTACTCTCTGTACGATTAAAAATAATTTCGTAACAAAAAAATGAACGTAAAAGTGTTCCGTAAAGGATAATATCGATGAGACATTGACCT